GTGCGTAGCCTGGACCAGGGGGACCCAGGATGCAGGATGGGGATGTGCCATGGGGGTCCGGGGCGCAGGCAGGGGGAGAGAGGGGACTCAGCAGCAGCCCATGTGAGCAGGGCCTGGGCGATTGGGGGGGCGGGGGCTAGGGCATACAGAAGGAGAAATGAACTTGCATGGCTGGGCAAGCATCTGAGGGGCTGGGAGGGAGGGGGAGCGGAGAGCGCTTCCCGGTCTGGGTTCCCACTGACATCAGGTTTCTTTCCAGGGGCCTCCGGATGCCTGGAGCAGAAAGAAGGCGCTGGTGTTGGGCGAGTGCCAGGCGGCCCTCAGCCTGCAGCCCAGGTAACCGCCCCCCGCCCCCCAGGTCGGGCTGGCCTGGGGCAGGCCCGGGGTCCTGCGCCTTTTTGGGGTCTTAGACTTGCTTCACCGACATAGTCGCGAGCGCTCCAGTAAGCAGTTTGCCAGGACACCCCACCCCTTAGCTAGTAAGAGGACAAGGGTTAGGTCTTCCCAGGGCGACTGAAGTGGGGAACCACGTGGGCAGCTGGGTTTAAGGCGACCCAGGGTTCAGATTCTGGGTCATAGACCCTGCCACGGCCCCCCGCCCCCCAGGCCTGACAGCGGGCTGATCTCTTGCAGGACCACCTGGGGGAAGCGCCGTAGAGCAGCCTGACAAGGAGCACCGCGCAGAGCTGGCCCCACACCCGGAGGCGCCCAGATCCCCCCAATGCACTGAGCCCCCCAGGCTCCCGTGGGGGCGGGCGGCCATGGGCGCCGCCATGGACTTCTGTCTAGCGGCACAGAGCCCTTCCAGTGGGTTCCTCTTTTCAAGTTAAGCGGCCCCAGCCCTGGTGTCCGAATCACAGGGGACACTTGACAACCCCCCCCACGCCCCCCGAGGTAGGCGCCTCGTCCTGGTCAACAGTGCACACGGCTGTCACCAGGAGACACGCTTACCCACTTGTCATCTCCCGGAAGGTTCTGAAGTGTCTTCAGAATGCGCAGCGGCTCCTCTCCTGTGTCCCCACAACACCACCCTCGCAAGGGTGCCGCCCACCAGCTGCCCAGACCCTCATCTCAATCATCGGATTAAACAAGGGGCCAGCGCGCAGACGCGGCTGCTGGGAGGGGTGTGCATCGGGGCGGCCAGTGCAGTCGTGAGGCTCGGCACCAGGCCACGGCTTGGGAGCCAGCACAGGCCGGGGGTGGGGGACCGGCCCGGGATGAGCGGCCGAGTCCCGCTGGCGGAGAAAGCCCTGTCCGAAGGCCACGCCCGGCGGCGGTACCGGGACACCTCCCTGCTCATCTGGCAGCAGCAGCAGCGGAAGCTGGAGTCGGTGCCGCCCGGGACCTACCTGAGCAGGAGCCGCAGCATGTGGTACTCACAGTACGGGAACGACGCCATCTTGGTCCGAGACCGAAGCAAACTGGGGGGCTCCCGGGACACGGGCCAGTCCAGGTTTTGCTCAGTGATGTGACTCCCGTGAGGACCGGGCCCAGGGCCCGCGTGAGCACGCCGCGTGCCGGCAGCTGCCTGTGGGTTCCCAGGCCTGGCGGGGAGGCTGAGTGGTGAACGCGAGGGCCCAGCTATGGTGCAAGAACCTGTGACCCCAGGTTCCGAGCCGCTGGGCTCAGTGTCGGGGCGGCTGGCCTCCAGCTGTCCGGGTGCCGCGGGCACAGCAGGCCTGGGTACCCCGCTAGGTGTGCTTTTCATGTTAGAGAAACCAACCGAGAGGGCACCCTGCTTACGAACAACCTTTTCAGGCGTGGGAGCCTGTGTGCGTTTTCATTGTAATTACCGTTGACATTCAGTGTTATATTAGCTTAGGGTAGTAGGTTGCTTTTCAAAAATACGTTTTTATTGATTTCAGAGAGGAAGGGAGAGGGAGGGAGAGATGGAACATCAATAATGAGAATCATGGATCGGTGCCTCCTGCATGTCCGCCACTGGGGATCAAGCTCACAACCCGGGCCTGTGCCCTGACCAGGAATCGAACCGAGACCTCCTGGTTCATAGGTCGACGCTCAACCACCGAGCCAGGCCGGCCAGGCGGTAGTAGGTTATTTTTAACGTCCGCTTCTGCCTGGGGAAGAATGATGTAGGGAAGGGTGAGGAACTCTACCTGCAGGACCCGGATGTAACGCACAGGCCGACAGCAGCTGCGTTTTGAATTGTCACCGAAATGGTCGGTAGAACGCACTCGCTTCCGAACACCCGAGGACTGCAGGCCAGGGCGTCCCGTACACAGTGAGGAAACCAAAAGCCCCTTCCGTTCCCACCCGCTCCTGACGGGCGGGGCTGGAAGAGGCAGGTTCGGGACGGACAGCGTCTGAGCCGGGCCGAGGCTGCCACCCCCGCCCCTCCTGCCCCCCCGCCGTCTGCAGCGCCTGGTGTCCTCGCTGCCCGCAGCTGCTGTGCCCACATGGAAGAACCTCCGGCCAAGGGACTGTCCTTTTCTAAATAAATACGCGTTAGGGCTCTCCTCTCGCTCCTGTTTTTATGTTGGTTCGTAATGTGTTCCTTGGCTTTCTGCTCTTAGTGGCTAACGATTGCTAAACCCCCAGCACAGAAACCTGAAGGCGAAGCCACAGCACCTACCCCCGCCCCCCGCCGCCCTGAGATGCACCGGTGCCGTCACCTCCAGGCAGCAGCCCGCCCTGTGCGCCCCATTTTGGATTTTCCTTCTTGCTCAGCTGCACAGACGGGTGTTGACATGGTGGGTGGGGGAGCTCCCTGGGGCGGGCAGCGTCTTGCTGTCACCGTGCACACCGCATGCCCTGCGCCTCCCGGGGTGAGTTGGTTGGCTGACATGGAAGTGCCGCAGTGGGGTCACACCGCTTCCCCAGACCCTCCCCGTCCAGCCCAGGCCTGGTCCCTGCTGACGGTTCTCGGCCACCTGCTGCCTCAGGCAGCGCTGGAGCTGGAGGGAAGCCTGTCCCTCCTGCACCCCCAGCAGAGGCGCAGTCCTGCTCGGGCATCCAGAGTGCCTGCACCCACAGCCCGAAGACTGGGTGGTGGCAGGGTTGGCCCCGGGCATGGAGGCAGCACCTAGGGGTCCGCTGGCCATGGTGGGTCTGCACAGGTCGGTGTGCAGGTGACCATGCACTGGGGTATGCGGGCACAGCTGCTGGCCTGAGGGGAGCCGGGGACACGGCCGCCTGTCCTCGGGGAGGGGCTGGAGGAGAGGGGCTCTGTCTGGACAGGTGACTGTGGGTGGGAACGGGCAGGGCACCTGCCAGCGCAGCCTGGGAGGGGGCTGGAGGGGGGTGTCATGTCACGGGGCGGGCCTTGGGCCAAGAACCTTTTCCCGGGTTGGCCAGGTCCGCAGAGTGGTGTCAGGACGCCTCCTCCATTCCCCACTGGGCCAAGCCGGGGCGGGGGGCCTCGGTGCGTGAGCCCATCTGGTCTGGCGTGGTTTCGGGGGAGTGTCTGCTGGGCCTGCACCTGAAGTCCTGGGAACTCCAAGTGCAGACAGAGGTGCAGGAGCGAGGACTGGAAGGTGGGGGAACCCACACTCGAGGGGGTGGGCGTTCCAGGGGCCCCTGAACGGGGTGCCTCGCTGCAGGCGGAGGGGCAGAGTCAGGGGCGCAGCTTTGGGTGTTCCCACCAAGAGCTCCAGGCCAGGGTGCGCTGGGGGGGGGGGGGCTCCCGCCCCGACCACCCCCACCATCCGGAGAGTGGAGCCACCAGCTGCACAGGAAAGGGCACACGCGGCACCTCCTTTTTTATTTTTATTTTTTTTGCTTTTATTATGAAAACAAAACAAATGCCCCAGGAGAAGGGTCCATGATTACCAGAAACATCGGAGCACTTGCTACCATTTTATTCTGTGTGTGGAGGCCAGCATTGCAGCAAACAAGCTAAAGCTACGTACAATGGACTCGTTTTCAGTAACTGACATTTACAGGAATATACTAGGAACGGCACTAAAAAGCTTAAGAAAAGGCAGGGTAAACTCGCATGCACATCGTACAGAAAAGCAACGTTTTAAATATAAAAGGAAAACGTCGGGAAGCGTCACGCGGGGGCTGCTTCCCCCAAACGACTGTGAGACGTGAATCCGCAAAAGAACAAACCCAAACGCAAAGGCGACGCATCTTACAGTGCGTGGCGAGCGAGGCCACGTCCTGCCCAGCACGCTGCAGCCTGCCCTTGGCCCTCGAGGTCAGTCACGAGGGTGTTTGCAAAGCCATTCCCTCCGCGTGGCCAACCAGCTTAACACGCGGGTCCTTCCCCTTAGAAAGACTCAGGCCGCGCACGCAGGCCCCACCCCGCCAACCGCAGTCTCCCCAGCACAGAGGGACCAACACCCGCAGGTGAGCTGAGGCTGGAGGGGCCCGGACGAGAGACAGCACTGTGCGGTCTGGACAGAGCCGTAGGGACTGCAGCACCGACGAGCACGCGCCTCAGCAGGCACGGCGCCTGGGAAGGCCTGAGAATCCGCTGTCTCGCCCAGACGGCTCCCTCCGCGCTCAACTCCGGGGCCAGGCGCTGCTCCCACGGGTGACCCTTCACTCCCCACCCCCGTGTGGGGCTGGCGCTCCACGGGAGCCCCCAGGCATCACGTGAGACCCTGCTCGCCCATCGGGCACTGGTTCCTTAGTCGTAGGTTAAATATGCCACCAAAGGCCTGTTTAGAAAACACTTCGAAAAACTAGGGAAACTTTAAAAATGGCAAGTTTTAAAACCCACTTATATATTTCCTATAAACAAAACTTAAAAGTTTAACAAGCTGGCCCAGAACTCACCAAGTGTCGGAGTCCCCAGGAGTCAGGGAAATGGAACTCCACCCCCCGCGCCCTCGGCAGAGCCACTGCGGGCCCACGGCCACGAGGGGACCCACAGCCAGGAGGGCTGACGCGGGCGGGACATGCCACGGTTCTTACAGTCGCCACCTGTTCGGGCACCGCTGACCAGCCCACCGGCACCGGCACAGACCACACCACGGCTGCACCTCCGTACCCACAAGGGAAGCGCCCCCGGGCTGCCTGGGCGACACCCCATCTCAGCCATTTCTGCTGAATGGAAAAGGCTTGAGCAGGGGGCCGTGCAGTCCTGTGGGGGGCCCTCCTGGAGCCGGAGGCTCTTTGACCCCCCGAGAGCGGCTGGAAGACTGCATGGGGCAGCGGGGCGCAGCACCTCCCCAGGAGGCCTGGAGGTGAGGGGCCCGCATCCAGGGCTGGGGGGCTGGGGGCCGGGCGGGAAGGCCGAGCGTGCATTCCTGGCCGGAGCCACGGCGCTCGGAGCCCAGGCCGGCGGTGCGGGCATCCCTGCGCTCAGAGGCCGTCCGGGAGCCTCCGGGCAACACAAAACCAGAACATAACCTTCTGTTAAACTCTGTATATTATTATTCTTTTCTTTACAATAGAAAGTTAAAAATCAAGACTTAGATTTACTATACATTTTCCCCCTCTCAGATTACAAAGTTTATATTATATAGCTGGGCTTCCCTAAGCCGGGTCTTTTAAAACAGTCCGAGGGAGACCAGGAGAGTACAAAACAACTGCACAGGCAGAGGGAGCAGGC